ACTACGAAACATGCGTCTAAATCTCAGAATTATAGGAAAATACCATAAGACTTTTGCTGGTGACAACTTTTTCTTATACCGAGATACACCACATTTAGGACACTCGTTTAATGATGCATATTCATTTCGAAACAAAATGCAATCATTTGGACAAACATGTATCTTATCATAGCTCATGCCAATAGAGCATAATATTTTTTTAGCTTCATAGGTTCGATTAGGAAGAACATTGTACTCTGGAAGCATCTCTTGTAGCAGGGCTAACAACTCTGTGAAACTTTTATCCGACCATCCATTACCCGCCTTTAAGTTGTACAACTTTAATACCACAGACAATCTTGTGAAAGTAGTGCAACCTTTATACAACGGTTTCTCTGCACCGCTTACCAACCTCTCAAACATCTTGGGACAATCCTGAAGATTTCTTCAAGTGCTTCTGCAATCTCTTCGACTCGATCAAAATCATATGTATCCCTGCCATTGTCCTTTGAAGCATTGGTCGTATTATCCCCCGGTTCGACATTCTCGTTACTTATTTCACCATGTAATGTCCAGCATGTATAACTTCGATCAATTCCATGTCTCATTAAATGAGATTCCAACTAAACTGCATCAATCCGACGCCCATAACAGCAACCTAAGCAAGGAAATGTGATCCTACTGGGGTCTTTGGCGTGTTCAACAACAAACTTAACGAATTTTGATACCGCATTCTCATACTCTTTTGACAATCGATTAGAAGACATCCATTTTTATTCATACTAATTAAGTATACTAAACTAAACTAAGAAAGCTAAACAAAAACATCGAATGCCTGTAGCACTAGCCTGTAGAGAAATCACCAACTTCTAGAACTAAACCGTAGGATTCTTAGAAACGATCACAATCTTGCTCTACGCAGGTAACCCCTATAACAGAAAAAATTAATAACATCATCACCATTAAATAATTCTTGGAAACGATCAAAATTAATAGACATAAATAATTCATTTATTTTCATCAACAACAATAACATCAATGACATCAACAAACTTTAATAGAATTTCTAACTTTGTTAACTCTTTAACAAATTTCTACATGGCATGGCATTGAACAATATCAAAGTTGTATCAAAATAGTGGAAACAATATCAAACCTAAACAAAATGTTAATCTTGTATCAAAGAACTAACAACAACATAATGCCACCAAGAACAAACAACAACACAATGCCACTAAGAACAAACAACATAATGTCACCAAGAATAAACAACAACATAATGCCACCAATAACAAACAACAACATAATGCAACACTTATATATATATATATATATATATATATATATATATATATATATATATATATATATATATATATATATATATATATATATATATATATATATATATATATATATATATATATATATATATATATATATATATATATATATATTTTACTCATCATTGCTGGAAATTTTAAAAGCAAACTCAGTAAGAAAACAAATCCATTACATATACCATTGTAGCAAAATACAATATGAAAACAAACCTGTAGATTTCGTACAAAATGGGTGGAGGACGAAGATGGAACAATGCCAAAAACAGACGGACGAAATGGAAGAATATTGCCAAAAACAAACAGACAGAGACGATAATGGAAGTGGCGATGAATGAAAATGGACGGCGACAGAAACGAAAATGGAAGAATGCCAAAAACAGACGGAAACGGACGACGACGGAGGCGGAAATGGAAGATTTCTGTTTATGAGTTTTTAAGGGTTTTCTGGGTTGCGAGCGGAAGAATCACAACTGTTTCTGTTTATGAGTATTTCTGGTTTTTTTTTATTTTTAATTTATACCACTTAAACCTACAACAGCGCTTTTGCATGGCCTTTAACAACACTTTATAAAATCGCTCTCTAAGTTCTGATAAGGCAGGACCTATAACAACGCTTTTATAAAAGCGCTCTCTTTTGTACCACCTATAGCAGCGCTTTTTTAAAAACGCTTTCTCAGAATGCCCCTATAGCAGCGGTTTCTGAAAGCGCTCTTGTAGGTGATCCCTATAGCAGCGCTTTCTAAAAGCGCTTTCGTAAGGCCTACTTTTAGCAGCGCTTTTTCAAAAAGCGCTGTCTTTTCATGCGCTGCCAAAAATCATTTATGTAGTAGTGTTTGCGTCGGCGTCTGCTCTGATGTATAACACCGGAGCCAGGAAAGTTTTGCTATGTATAATTTTGTAGATATTTTTGGATATTTCTATAACTTGTGGTTTATGTTATTTTGAAGAATGATAATGTTCTGAATATCTTCTTATGTTGACGCTTCTGCTATTTTCAATAAAGTTGGAATTTAAGACGTGTTGAATTGTTATAGTTACTATAACTAATTTTCAAACATTGCATGTGTTACATATCATCACATATGAGAAGTTGTTTTATCTTTAGTTGTGTGACATCCTGAATATAAATGATATATTTACTCTCATATTTTAATTATATTTTACAGGTATTTTTATGGTGTTACATTAGTGGTATCAGAGCAGGTCGGTCTGTCCGACCAAGTTGTTGAGTCGTAGTGTTATTATAGTTAAATACTATCTTTGTTGTGACAATTGAATATTGTCTTTGTTGTCTTTGTTTAGCCGTAGGGAGATCTTGAGGATGTTCGTGGGAAGAAGGAGTTTTTGTTTCTAGAGCTGATGCAGAATGTGAATCAGAGAAAACCTTACAATGCTCTAACTGATAAGGGTAAACAGAGAGTTACTAATGGTAAGAGGCAAAGTGTGGGAGAAGCGTCTGCTTCTCGTGGATATTTAACATATGTTTTATAACATAATATTCACACACATATGAGTTAGGTTATTTTCGCGATTAAAAATAGTTTGTATATTGTATTAATACACACAAAATACAAGTAAGACATTAGATAAACCTCAACGCCTTGTTAGTTTAATGCTAAATATTGTACAATTGCTTGATATTTTAGATATTTTTGGGTCTTTTACGTTTCAAAGTTGCAAGTATATTTTTCGGTTGAGCCAAATTCAATGTCATGTGAACAACGCAATCCTTCTCTTTCGGCATGAGGCGACACAAAATCAGATAACCAACTAACTTTTTCACACAAGTCGTGGTTATGTAAACCACATATAACATTAATTGTCTATTTATTGTTTGCCAAAATATAACCATGCAACTTAAAGGGACACTCATATTTTCTTGAACCAATGTCGTCTCGTTTAAAATTCCGAAGATAAGGTCTATATTTTTCGCTTCTTTCGCACGTCATTATCAAAAAAGCACATCTTCTATCCGAGCCATTATCGGACCATCAGATTATCACATAAAATCCTAGTTTGGAGGCCACTGTGTGAATCCATTGAAGCATGCGATCATGAAATTCAAACTCTTACTCATTTTTAAATTGGTTGCCAACATCAACTCCCTTCATAACAACACCTTTGGGATTCAGAGACACGACATGTTTGGGGAAAACATCGGGGTGCACCATATTTAGTTAAAGTAATTACCAAGTAACAATAAATAAGTGCTAATGATGTAAACAAAATTGAAAGAATGATAACAGGCATGTATTAGAAATGTATTTCCGGATGAGCTCATACTTGTTCTGAATATGTATCTCCAGAATAAACGCACGTTTTTCAGACAGAAAATAATATTAATGTGAACAATGAGGTTTAAAATAAACGATCTTTAATTGAAATTCCAACTTCTTTTACTCATTTTGATGTGATGAAATAAGATTGAAGATTTGGAGTGAAAATATAGATTGAGAATGAAAAGGTTTTTCTGAGAGTTTGGAGTGGAAAACAAGTACGATTATGTGATCATGCACTTTAGTGTTTTATCACCTTATCTCTGAAAATATCTGACATGCAAAGGTGACAAAAAATTTCAAAATACCGCTCCAAACTTTCGAAGATACATCTCTGAAATGTCTACTGAGCTGATCAACTATCAATATATTTGTTAAAAAATATTCAGCTCCGAAATATTTTTTAGTATTCATCTAAGATATCACTCATTTGGTGCGCCATAACATTGGTGCATGGCGTGTCTTGAGATACATTTCTAAAATTTGAGAAACAATTTCAATTTTTTATAGGGTGTTTTTTCATCCCATAAAGTATCATAAAAATTTCTTAAAAAATAAAAAATTGAATATGACAATAATAATTGTTTTATGCTAAATTAATACGTGATTGAAATACTTCAAGAATTTTTGTTTTAATAAACATCTATGAACAAATTTATTAAAAATAACGTGTTTTTATCCATGTTAAACATCTATATTTATGATTATAGTTAGTTAATTAATTTTTTAAATTATTATTAGAATCGTCGTATCAGTGTTGAATCGTCACGCTTTATTGATAATTATATACATTTTCAACCATTTACTAAATTTTGGTGTGGCTATTTGTTGTGTTTAAATTATAAATAAAACATTCACATATTGTGGTAAAGTTTATATTATTTTATCTGTGCTATCTATTTATAAAACAATGCAAAACACAAAAAACTGTCATGCAATGTAACTCAAGAGTTTGTGACGTTCTACTATTATCACTTCAACATTCAACATGAATCAAATCAAACACATCTTATAACTAACTAACACCAAAACAACAACTTAAATATAATTCATTTTACAGTTTACACACGTTTGAGCATGCATCCCTATACACCACAGTTGCAGAAAGTGTCATTCTCACATTTTGATTCTTCTGATAAAATCACTTAAAAAAAAAAGCACTTCAAAGTACTACTTCCATTCTTTTCTTTCATCTTTTCACTTCAGATTCCACGGCGGGAAAACGCTATTTATTTCATGAAATTCTAACAATAATAACCCCTTCCGAAAAAATTAACCAAAAAAAAAAAGAAAAAGAAAAACATAAACACACTGACACGAATTTTCATCTTCTTCTCTCTCTCTCTCTCTCTGAAACTCAAAACCCTAACATTGTGAAATTCCCCTTTCTTCTTCTTCTTCCATGGCATTCCCTCCCGATGAAACCGGCGGAGGAGTCGCCACCGAAGAAGACACCACCATTGACATCCACACCACCCACGGCACTCCCATTCGCTACCTTCCTCTCGATCATCTCTACTCTTCAACATCCCCTTGCAGTGGCTCCTCCAACGTCATGTCCAAAAAAGTTAAAGCTCGTAAACTCAACCTAACCGCAACCACAGCCAACAACAACAACAGCGACGACGATAATAACATTCACTTCAATGGCGAAATCGATTTTCCGATTGATGATAAGAAAGCCACGTCCACGTCTATGGTGGTTTATGCTAAACCTAAACCGCCTCTTCTGTATGTTTACTCTCGTAGGCGAAAGAGGAGTTCGATTCTGGTGTCGTTTCGTGATTCCTTGTTGCTTAGGCGGGAGGAGATGGATTCTGAGAGGACTGTGTTGAAGAAGAGGAAAATTGGGAGTACTGAATTGGAGAGATTGGGGGTTGATTGGAATGCGATGGGGAAACTTCATGGACCGAGATTGAGGGAATGTCGTAATCCAATTGGGAGTTTTGGTATTGATGGGAGTAATAATAATAATAACAAGTGTAGTTCTGTTGTTAAGCTTCCTAAGCTGACGCCTGAATCTTACTCATTGAAGAGATGGGTCACGTAATTTCACCTTTGCTTTCTCTCTTCATTTTATTTATTTATTGTTTATTGTGTTTGTTCTAGTATGCAATGTAGTAAAAGTTCTGTTTGTTTGTCTTCGAGAAACTGAGTTTATGCGAAATTCAGTTTTGCTTACATGGTTAGTTAGTTCTACGAGTTGGTTTTTGGGATTGTGTATTTATGTCTGGTTGGAAGGAGGGGGAGTCTTATGTGATTGTTTAGTCTTGCATGTAGTTTCTGAAGAGGAATTGTTGTTTGTGATTTTTTCGGAATGTAGTTTTTGTTTTGACGGTAGGTGAACTTTGGTTGAATGTCTATGGAGTACTTAGTTTTGTGGATAAGGCTGAGTGATGTTGTTTATGTGTCTATGGTTTCTGTGTGGGGTAGGGAGATGGAAACATTGCATTAATGTTCTCTTTCTCTGCACTTACTGCAGGTTGAGTTTATGTGAATGTGTCAAGTCTTGCCTATAGTTTCTGAACAGGAATTGTTGTTTGTGATTTTTTGGAATGTAGTTTTTGTTTAGAAGGTAGGAGAACTTTGCTTGAATGTCTAGGGAGTACTTAGTTTTGTGAATAAGGCCGAGTAACGTTTTTTGTGTCTCTGGTTTCTGTGTGGCATGGAGAAGGAAATCTTACATTATGTTCTCTTTCTCTGCACTTACTGCAGGTTGAGTTTTGATGGTGCCGATCCAAAGGCTTTTGTTGGATTGAAATGCAAGGTAATCTTTTGTAACCCTTGGGTTAGTGATGGTTAGGCGTAATATACTGAGCATCCATTTTTAAATTTCACACAACATACTACTGCCATTATTGATATCAAATGACAAATTTTCAACTATGGAGCGGGTACTATGCTGTTAGGTTGATATCAAATGATGAATGTAGACAAATCTAATGATTGTAACCTATAGTGCACATGTGCATCATTTAAAAATTGATGTAACTTAAATGCTTCCTTAATAATTGTATATTCATTCTGCTGAGTCTGTTTATACAGATACATATCATCAATTTCGGCCTCTTTTTTTTGCAGGTTTACTGGCCCATGGATTCAAAATCATACACTGGCCATGTCAAAAGTTATGACAGGGAAGCTAATATACATCATGTACGCCCTTATAAAAATTATTGCTCAAATGTTTTGAATAGCTTCAAACAAAATGTTATGTGCAATTACGACTATGTGTATTTGATGATGTTGCACATGTTATTTGGATTTCATCCTTTCATTAATAAATATTTGCAGATCGAGTATGATGATGGAGATGAGGAAAATTTAACTCTTTCAAACGAAAATGTAAAATACCATGTTTCTCGAAATGACATGGAACGCTTAAAATTGAGTTACGCCAAAGTTCGTGACAGCAATGTCTCTGATTATGATGTTGAAGAGATGCTTGCACTGGCTGCAAGCATGGATGATTGCCAAGACTTTGAGCCAGGGGATATCATATGGGCAAAGCTTACAGGTTTATGCTCAATCTTGTTCAGTTGTTCCATTTGTAGATTATTATATGTTGGAGTGGGATATCTTCTGTTGGATATAATTTAATATTAAGAAGTATTTACATCTGGGCTTAAGATTTTTTTATATAAATATTATTATTATTATTTTCCTGTGATTCCATATGTATACTTTTGCAATTTATATGGCATATTAGTAATTTATGTATGGTTCATACCAAAGGAGCTAGGTACACGGTCTCTACTTTGGTAATTATCTTGTTTGTTTATTACTTGCATTTTCAGTAACAATTAGACCTGTTAATTTTGTAACTGCTAAAATGGATGTGCCTTTTTATTGTTTTGTTTATGTTTACTTTGCAGGTTATGCAATGTGGCCTGCTGTTGTCCTGGATGAATCACTTGCTAGCAGCTGTAAGGGTTTAAAAACGTTCATAGGGGGGAGATCGGTTCCTGTCCAATTTTTTGGCACCCATGACTTTGCAAGGTTTGATATTCTGTTAAATCTAAGAATATTTTAGCTTTCAAAATTGAGTGAGAAACTGTCTCCTTACAAGACGAACCATACTCTCCCTTCTTCCAGAGTTCGACTGCAACAGGTGAAATCATTTCTCAATGGACTTCTAACAGATCTACACTCAAAGTGCAAGAAACAGAGTTTCATCGATGGTTTAGAAGAGGCAAAAAGGTAATATTATTCACTCTTTTTCTTTTTTCTTTAATGGTTCTCACACTTATTAACTAGAATGTCAAAAGATGGAAACCTTAATATGCTGCCAATTGCAATTTTGCTTGTGCTGTTTCAGGTTCACGTTTATTAATATGTTAACACTATTAGTCTTCATTCTCTGTAATCTAGCACTTTCAGATGGTTGCTCTAAATTTGTTGGTTTTACAACTGTTTCGCGTAATCAGGTATTTAAGTGCACAGAAGCTTCCTTTGGAGATGATAGAACTGCGGAAAAGATGTACAGCTGATAACCATAACAATATAAGGGGAGAGGATGGAGGATGTACAGATTCTGGTGAAGACTGTGTAAATGACAGAGGGACTTGGGCAGCACTTCAAAACATTGATACTTTTCCTTATGAAGTCGGAGACTTGCAAATTCTAAGCCTTGGTAAATTTTCAATAGTACTAGGACTTCATGTTTTTAGTAATATCTTTAATTAACCTTCTTGTTTTCTGACAGGATCTCTTCTTTTCAGTTGATGCTTTGCTTCATATAGCTGCTTTCTGATTTTCCTTGGTGGTTCCAAGAGAGCCATCAAAACATAACCTTTCATTATATTTAAGTTTACTTCAAATCTATCTATTCTTCCACTCATATGATAAATTGAGTCTTTTGAAAAAGGTTACCTTTGACTAACTTGATTATTTTAGATGGTAGTAGCTAGAAAGATCGGTTAGTAGTCTCATTAATATGCTAAACAATTTTCATTTATCAACCAGTCAAATAATGCCACATGTATAAAAACTGTAATCTTCTATTGCTAGTTAAATATTTTAGCAACTCCATCAGTGTGGCTTCTTGCTTCCTGAAAGTGCAGACTTCTACCCTGAAAATAGATAAAATCCATGTTTTTAATATTATATCCAAGATTGAACACACCCTACGGACTACGGTACAATATAGAGTATGCTACACTTTCAACAAAAGTTGAGGGCGGGCTTTTGGGGTCACTGTTACTTCTTGGTTATTAGCAATTTGATGAAGCCAAATGAACATCTAGCCCCAAGGATGTTAACTATTTTTTTCTTTTTCAGGAAAAATAGTTGGAGATTCCACTGCTTTTAGGGATGGAAAATCCATCTGGCCCGAAGGATACATAGCAGTGCGGAAATTCACTTCAGTTACCGGTGATGCTTTTTATGTTTTTGATTTCGAATGTTTGCATGTTATTCTTTTGTGAATTTTTGATTGTTCAAGAGAATATTGAACATGCCATATCCTTCTTATTTGATTATTTTAATTCCAGTTATTCTGATTCTTTATTTCCCCCCTCCTTTTTTGTGCTTTTTGGTTGTTTAGACCCTAAAGTATCTGTCCCTTATAAGATGGAGGTTTTGAGAGATCCAGAATCCAGAGTCAGACCATTATTTAGAGTGACAGTTGATGGTGGTGAGCAGGTTGGTTTTTACTATAAGATATGACTTTGCACTTTTAGACATGCTTTCTCTGAAAGATTATATATTGAATTATCTGATGCTTTTACTTTTGTATCTATTTTTTTTGGTATTATCCTTGAGGGTTATCTCTTTTCACCTTCCCTGACACATGTAACATAAATAAAGCATAAACTTTAATGACCTTAGAGTCAAGAATCTTATCTGATAAAACAATTCTCAGCCATACACAAGAGAACAGAAATCACACCAGAAGTTGTTGCAGCAGATCATCCATATAATTGAAAAAAACACTCAGTTACATATTTGCTACATAGCAGTCCCGCCGTTTAATTGTCCCGTTACTAATTCTACCCTGTGTATTTTCCTGAGAATAAACAAGCCACATTTTAGGCTTGCTTTCTGCATGATCCCGCACCTGGCCCGCATTGTCAGCTTTTTTTTCGTCCTTTTTTAAAATGTTCTGTATTTTGTTCAGTTTTCTGTCTCTGATGAATAAGGTTAAAACTTATGTACAATATGCCCGCTTTGATAGCTAGATTTCTGGGTTTGTTTATTGATTGTTAAATTGCTTAACTAACTTAACTTGATTTTTCCCTTATCTTGCAAGGATAATAGAAAATAATCTCTAAGTTCCATGACTTGTATTAATCTTGTTGTAAATGTTTTGCTGCAGTTCAATGGTTATACGCCATCTACTTGCTGGAATAAAATATACGAAAGGATAAAGAAATTGGAAAAGGTTGTTTCTGAAAGTTCCGTTGCTGATGGGGAGGTAGAAAGTGGCTACAAATCCGGCTCTGACATGTTTGGTTTTTCCAATTCTAAAGTGGCTAAACTTATTAAGGTATGCTGTTCTTAGATTTGAATTTGAACATTAAGTCAATATATTGGAAATTAGCAAATAGCTCAGGAAATATCTTTACTTTATCCCATAGAAAACTTGGTGAAATAAAGATAGTTTTGGTTTTGGTATGGCTCAATGGTGTCAACTGCCAATCAGTCCATATACTTGAATCTACCTTGGGGGATAAGATTCAGCTATTGTTGTATCACGAAGTCTGCACTTTGCAGTTGATGTCAATTTACTCCCCTTCTCTCTATGCCAGTGCTCTTTTTAAGTTTGTTATTTGTTTCACCAGGATCATTTTTTAATGAAAAGTTTATCTTCACGCAAGCACGCGCACACACACACACACACTTTGGATTATGCTATCTCTAATTATTTATCTAACCCAATATTTTTTACTATAACACATACTTTTTCAATCTGTGTATGCGATCCTTGATAATCACTGAAAGTAAGTATTATTTCCAGGGATTATCCAAGTCCAAAGTCTCTTTGAAGAAATCAATTTGCAAGTCAGGTTCCGGATTGCCTCTTGGTTATAGACAAGTTCATATCAATTGGTTTGATCTCGATAAGTGCAATGTGTGCCATATGGACGAGGTACTGAGCCCCCTTTAATCCTTTAGAGTTCATGTTCTTTTTATTGTGTTTCTGATTTTTCCCTTATCCTGTTTTTCATGTTCATTCAAGGAAAATAGAAATACTATTTTTTTGCTAATAATTTTATTCTATACCGTGCTTGCTAATTTTAAGTTATTTATATTGTCAGGAGTATGAGACCAATCTGTTTCTGCAGTGTGACAAATGCAGAATGATGGTATGACCACCCCACCTCGGAAATCTTTATACCTCATCCCCCCTCCTAATGGATTATATAACATAAGTGAAGGGGTTTAATTAACATCTGTTCAGTACTGCTTAATTAACTAATAAGTCTCTACTACTTAATCCATTTATTGAGATGGCGCTATAAATTGTAATGTTCACTCAGGTTCATGCTAGATGCTATGGAGAACTGGAACCTGTAAATGGAGTGCTATGGCTATGCAAATTATGTCGTTCGGGCGCTCCTCCCCCACCATGTTGCTTATGTCCACTCATAGGTATTCTTGGACTCACTGATATTCATATTGTATTTTTATGACATGCCACTGATTATTGTAATGAAATTTCTTCTAGGTGGTGCAATGAAGCCTACTACAGATGGCCGGTGGGCTCATTTGGCTTGTGCGATGTGGATACCTGGTTTGTTTGTCTGACTTTGGGCACTCTTTTAGACTCTAGTTTGCTCATGTTTGCTAAGGCTTATATTTTTTTGCCAGAAACTTGCTTAGCTGATGTCAAGAGAATGGAGCCTATTGATGGATTGAGTAGAATCAGTAAGGTAGGCTTTTATAGCTAATTATGCCTTTCAATACTACCGTTTTTTTGTATTTCAAATTTTTCATGCTGTAAACATTTTCATTATTTTTCCTTTTTAGTTTTCGTCAAATTGCTTGCGTGTCACACTGATCATACCGAGTTCTATCAGTACATATATAATCTGGTTCCTAATTGCTTTCCCTTTAATCATGTAAATTTTGCATCTGAACAGGACCGTTGGAAATTGTTATGCAGCATATGTGGTGTATCTTATGGTGCCTGCATCCAAGTAAGTTTTCAAGTGTTTAGATAAAGAATAGTTTAAGTATGTTTTTCCTTGGTTAATAGGTCAAATCAACCTGAAACACTGCACCTGAATGAACTAAACCACAACAAAATCACCTTATGCTGGAAGAAACATTGAAAACAGTCATTTTTTGGAAATGTTTAATTTATGTATGGGTGCATCAGGCTACATTTAATCTTAACCATCCATCTATATTTACGGTCAATATTAGCTTAATTTGTCTCTCAATTGATACACCTTGTATACAAAAACACACATACATTACACATTGCATGGAGCTTGGCCATTATTTCTTTACTAAGCAATTTCTTATAGTTTACTAAATTATGATGATTTTTCTTCTTCAAAATGGCAATTCTTCATAGTGTTCAAACAATTCTTGTCGAGTAGCGTATCATCCACTCTGTGCACGTGCAGCTGGTCTTTGCGTTGAGGTATTTTCCCTTTTTTTTCTTCTTTTTTCTATACATATTTTATAAATTATTTTGTTTTGACCTTAAGAGAGTGGTGTTGGCTTTGATACAATAGTTAGCTTAAAACATTGATTTGATAGGGCATTTATTATTATTTTTAATTTATGATTTATAGCTTGAGAATGAGGACAGGCTCTATCTACTATCCCTAGATGATGATGAGGATCAGTGCATTCGCTTACTTTCTTTTTGCAAGAGACATAGGCAGCCATCTCATGAACATTCTGTAGCCGATGAACGTGTTCAGGTTATTGGTCAATGTTCAGATTATAAACCACCACCCAGTTCATCTGGTTGTGCTCGAAGTGGTATGCTATTTGAAAGTTATTTTGCTTAAGCAATTTTCCAATTTTATATCTTTTTCTTACTTAATCTTCTCCAGCAACCAATGTAAAATAAACAGATGTTGTGTGTGGCGACTCTTAGTTTTTTTTTTTGAAATAGCCAATGTTAATATTGTTGGTAATAGTATCACGTTGGGAGTGGTGATCAGAGCCTCGACATCCTTATCATTTGACTCCTTAACTCTCCCATCTTAGCCACCAAACCAACCTTATATCCCCTAACTCTTGGTTTTTGTTATACAGTTATACCATCTGTCTGTGGCTTCCCTTTACTATTTTATAGAACTTTTTGTTCATGTTCAATGTTTTGGAGTATTCTATCTTGACTGAGTTCTAGTTATTCCTTATTTAGGATCAACTGAATTGATTTTCAAATTAGATATACTGTGTTCTACATCAAACTAATGACCTCGACCCTCACATCAACTTGCTTACAATTCGTGTTCTTTTACTTTAATAATTAATTGGGTCGACAATCAGCTATGTATTGAAGAAAGCTTTAGTGCGCACATTTGGAAAGGGTAATAGTTGTGTGCTAAGAGCAGGGTGTTAGTAATAGGCCTCCTATCACTAGGAATTAAGTTGGATAGAAGCATAGAAATCAAATTATTGTTGGGGGCAGAAGTCATGTAATTTTAGTAGGCAGTTTATGTTATTATTATTAAATGTTGTGCGTACAGTAACTTTAGAGGGTTGTTGATTATGTTTTAGTTGGTTGGGACAGACTAGGCTCTCTATCTCCTAGGTTGGGTTATTGTATTTCTTCTTGTGACCAACTCTGCAGGATGTTATTCTCAGAGGGTTGTTGATTATAAGTTATTCAGTATGTAGTACTGTCCTCCACTTACCCGTAAATCCTAGATCTATCACAGGGTTGCAGAGTATCCAAGCTGATAGTAAAGATGTTCGCCACAAATTTATTGAGATTAGTTAGCATAGTCTGTGTTGGGCTACGTCTTTGATAGATTTCCACATGTATTCATGGCTTATTAATGCTGAAAAACTTTTTTTAAAGGCTAATTCTGTTTATCAAGACTGTCACTGGCTGTATCTTCCTAATCAATGCATGAAACCTCTAAATGAGTCATAGTTCTCAGGTGTCATTTTGCACCGGTTTTACCAAATGCAGGAATATGACATAGGGCATGGATGCAATACGCAACACAACATGTAGATACAGAATTTTCTAAAAATTATAGGACAGCACTATAACATAGTGCATTAAATTAGTATAAAATTAATAGAAAAGAATACATCTCAATTTATAAGAGAGAATTGACATGCATTATTTTAGACAAAATGAGATGTCATTCTTAATCTAATTATTGGAATATTCTAATCTCTATTGGCATAAAAGTTTAAAAAATTGAAGGAAGAAAATCGTAAAATACAACTATAAGCGTATGGTATAAATGTGTGCGGCATGGATACCACACAACACGACTGTTGAAGTTTTACTACTTCCTTGCTGGATTGAAAGATGCTCATTCTATTTGGTTAAGGCTGTTTTTTGCATTAATACTTCTTAGATTCAATCTGAGTCAACCTGGTTAAGGATGTGTTCCCTGTTTGTGCATCAAAAAGTTAAATCTCAGGGGAAGGTTGTGGACCCCTATTGTATATTGCTTGGGGGATGGAAGGTTAATTGGAAAATACTGGGTGACTGGTAAATAAGAACATTCACCTTTTCTTTTGGAGAATTTTTGCTTTTTAGGATCCATCTTTTGTGCCAAATATTTGCTGGATGTTCTTATTTTTGTATTTTATCTCTCATATTGGCTAAAAGAGATGGATTTTGTTCTATTTGTTTTTGTCTTTCTTCCTCCTTTCTAACAAATTGTTCAATTGAAATAGTTAAAAATGTGTTTGTTTAACGAGGTCTGCCTTTATTCTTTTTGGGCAGAGCCATATGATTACTCTGGTCGGAGAGGCCGAAAAGAACCTGAAGTACTTGCAGCTTCTTCGCTGAAACGTTTGTTTGTGGAAAATCAACCATATTTAGTTGGTGGATACTGCCAACATGGATTGTTGAACGACCTAGAGCCTTCTGGCAGAGGAGTTTGCTCTAAATTCTTTTGTAGCGAGCAAAGGCTAAGAATGTCGGTGGTTGATTCTGCAGACAACATACTTAGTGTTCCTGAGAAATATAAGTACATGAAGGAGACCTGCCGGAAGCAGTTGGCATTTGGTAAGAAAATTGTCTTCGATACTTTTGAAAGTGGCGGGGAAAGGGAATTTGTTTTTAGTGGAATGTTGGCTTTACTGGCATGGAGGGTTATAATTTCTGATTTAGCTATGGAGTGAACCCTTCAAATGTTTTTGTTTTTTAAATTTAAGGGAAATCAAGAATTCATGGATTTGGCATCTTTGCAAAGCATCCATATAAAGGTGGAGACATGGTAAAGACAAATATATTTCATTTGAATGTGCCTCCTTTTATTATAGCTTTTCACTTTTAAATGATGGACTAATTGATTTTGTTTATTTAGGTGATTGAATATACCGGTGAACTTGTTAGACCTTCTATTGCTGATCGAAGAGAGCGTTTTATATACAATTCTTTGGTGGTAAGTGTTATTGAATTATCAAATGTTAGGAACTTAGGAAAATAGTTTGTAGATTGATGAAAAGAAAGAAGACATTTTATTTAAGAGTGAGAATAAGAGAGAGGTCTCTCTCTCTTTCTCTGCAGGATTTAGTGACCCGTGTCCTTTTCCCCTATGCAGGGTGCTGGAACATATTTGTTTCGGGTTGATGATGCAAGAGTCATTGATGCCACCAGAGCAGGAAGCATCGCTCATTTAATTAATCATTCCTGTGCAGTGCGTCCTTTCCTCCTTTTTTTAACCAGTTTCATATTAATCCATTTACTACTTGTTAAACATTGCCATTTCAATCTGCTTTCTTCAATTGACGTACGGGATTCACTTGATTTTTGCTTTTAGAGTTGTGATTATTAACTAACTAATATTGGGGATATGCATTCTTGAGAAAACTAAAGCATTGTCACGGCATATTAACATATTGCTATCTTCTAGACATTGTTAAATGACATTTGATGTATTGTGTTTTGTGTGAAATAATTTGATTAGCTCCGAAAAAGCTGTGACCATACATAGGTGGCTCATTAAATGAAAGTATATTCAATCTGATCCTTTTGTTAAGCCTATGCTCTACATTTTCTTCAGTTTGGAAATACTGCAATTCGACATATTTATTTGCGGAAGAAGCTATCAAGCCTTTATTTCATTGCTGAAGAAAATAATTAATTGCTTATCTATATCACTTTTGTTCTTATGCAGCCAAATTGCTATTCAAGAGTCATTAGTGTTAATGGTGACGAGCATATTATAATATTTGCAAAGAGGGACATTAACCAATGGGAAGAGCTTACATATGATTATAGGTATCTTTCTTTTCTGTTTGAGTAAAGATACATTCACAAAAAGAACCATACAAACTTGGCTTTGTGTTGGTTTAATTGTGTGTAGCCTTAAAATTTCCCAGTATATTATAATTCTTCATAATTTAATAATCGACTGACTTTCTTCGATTCTTGTAATAGATTTTTCTCAATAGATGAACGGCTTGCTTGTTACTGTGGCTTCCCGAAATGTCGAGGTGTAGTAAATGATACTGAGGCAGAAGAGCGAGTTGCTACCATATATGCACCGCGAAGTGAATTAGTAGATTGGAAAGGAGAATGAGGTAAGCAGCATTTATCTTGCTGTCTGACATCTTTGGTGAATATTGAACTTCAAAGCATCACTTTAACTGTCATGGATTGTTAAGGTGGGATTTGGCAGTTTACAATTTAAGCAATGGCGCAAATGGACCACTTTTTACTATTATAAATATGCAGACGACCTCCGTTTGGGGTCTTCTGGGAGGAACTTCTGTAGGCTTTGTAGTTCATTTCTTGTGCCTGGTCAAACTTTAGGGAAGCTTGTCGATTATTGTTATTTTGGGTGGTGGGTGGGGGGTGGTTGAGTTTTTAGTGTGGTTTGTTTTTTGTACCTTTAATCTGTACAAAACCTTGTGTTTTTTTTCTCTCTGTTGTTTGGTATCAATTCCTTGGTTATGATTTCTTGTGAGGTTTTCGTTTTGGCTATGGAGATTCTTTTGGTTAAATCTTTTTCGCTGTTTCTGTTTTGAGGATATGCCCTCTCCCCTAAATTCTTATACTTTTCCTTCAATACCATCTTATTAAAAACATACCTGATTTGGACGCACTAACTCTCAGAAAACAAGGATTTGATTGTTTGCTGGCAATGCTAGCAGAGACAAAATTTGACTTAGATTCTAAACTGGTTAAATTAAGATTCTTATCGATCACAGATATGGCCAAAGTAAGTTTTTAAGACTTCAATAGTCCTCATCTCTTTAGTTGGCTTTTGGGGTTGATTTAGGTTTGTGTTTTAGTTAATGGTTGAGTCAGGTCTAAAGTTCACATTCTAAGATAGTATTGGAGCCTATTGTAGATATTTTATTGCGCCACTTGTATTTTTGATGCTCTAGATGTCCAGCGCTAGACATGAGTTGGCGTTGTTATTGGGTGACTCATATTTGTCCATGCACTAGATGTGAAGGGGTTTGATTGTGATCCTTAATTGACTAGAGATACATTAACATGAACAGAGGAGTACTTATATTGCTTGAAAAGTTCTCACCTCTTATGCTAGTATTGAGGTCGAGTTAGCCCTAAAACCCAAATTCTAAGGGTGTGTTTGTTTTAAGGATTAAAATTATATTCATTGCAATTATATTCCTAGGTTATTATTATTCCTGGGAATATTATTCCAACTTAAGTCTTTGGTAAAAATTTAGATTCCTAGGAATAATTATGAAATTTGTTTAATTTAAAATTATAAAAATAATAAAAATAATAGTAAATTTGAGTGGTAGTAGGAAGTTATAATTGGTTAAATTTATTTCCATGGGAATGTTATATTCCCACACTTTAAGCCTTGGAATAAAAATAAAAAAGTCGTGTGTAAATAAAATTCCTTGGAATAAAAAATACCTTAGAATTATTTTATAAAACTTGAATCAAACATGGGAATATTGCATTCCCATAATGGAATATTTTTTTAAACCTTGAAACAAACACACCCTAAGAGGTTACCGGACACAGTTGGTCTTTATGCAAACTTGCTGAACCATCTTAGCTCCTATTTTGAGTAGCTTGCACATACTTGTGCATGTTTTGTTGAATTTCATGTGGGTTTAAGGGGAGCTCTCTTAAGTAATTGATTATATATTTATTTTCTTTTATATTTTTTATCCTTATTTTATGTGTACTTCGGTTCTGTCCTTCCTTGAAATTTATTCATTCAATACAAAATGAATGCTAGATTCTTGTGCATGTTTTGTTGAATTTCATGTGGGTTTAAGGGGAGCTCTCTTAAGTAATTGATTATATATTTATTTTCTTTTATATTTTTTATCCTTATTTTATGTGTACTTCGGTTCTGTCCTTCCTTGAAATTTATTCATTCAATACAAAATGAATGCTAGATTCTTGGAGATAAATTTGGTCACTTGCTGAAGGATATTTGTAAGAAGCAAGTAATTAGAAAGATTATCTGGCAATCTACTATGCCAATGGACCCATGGAACCTTAAGTTGTCTTGTCTCTCACATCCTTAGTCTTGATGTATCAGGTCATGTCCATTTCCCGTGGCTTGTATTTCTCCAAACCTCTTTGCTTTTTTCTGCGAACGCAGTAATTAAATTGGTTCTGCACCACACATATCTTTCTTTTGCTGTCATTTGTTGTCTGTTCAAAACCCATCACTTTGAATTCAAATTCAGCAGTTATCTACTTTTGCTAGTCATTATTCTGTCATACCTCCCGCTTTTCATTGTTTTTATTTTGTTTTGCAGATTTTTAATCCTAATATTATGCCATGGATTCTTGAAGATGAACCTTTGTCCAACAACATCTGTCATGGATTCAGTCATTTTTTCCAAAAGTACGGTGTTGTCAATAAGTCATCCGAGTCTCTCCATTAATTCGTTACCCCAACTGAGTCGGATATATTGGCTCGAGGTGGTTCCTCGGTGGTATTCTGGTTATGGTAATTGAAAAAAGGCATTTTTTTTATAAGTGGTTTCATTAGAAATTCATTTCCACAATTAAGGCTTCTGTTAAACGTCAACCAACTTGCTGATATGTTGTAACTTGCTGTTGAATAGGTACAGTTGAAGTTAGATAGAAAATTTATGCTAAGAAATTGAGAATGTGTATGTAATGTAATTGCTGATTATGTACCTCTGGAATTTTGAAATGATAAATGTGTATATATATATGAGACTAACAAGCTTGGATAGTCATTAATGAAGCCAATACTATGTATCCATTAAAGGTCATACATCTTAGGTTTTTAGCTTGTAAGCTGAGAATTTCCTTAACTTTAGAAACTTTGGTTAGGTCATATCTCTGGTCAATATGAGATTTGAATTTTTCCTATCACCTCTTAAGCCATAAGGCTATTAGGCTGACACATGGATAATATGGGTGATCCATTAACGGATCTAGGACAGGCTCGTATAATATGGGTGATTCAATAACTGATCTAGGACAGGCTCTCATACTCTCAGGTTTTAAGTTTATCTCAACTCTACAGAGCGGTCTTGTTAGGCTATTTATTATTTAAGAGTCTGTTATGGGTGAAAATATTTGAGTTTTATAAAATCTTTCTTATTTATAATGTAAATATTTTTTTAAAGGTGAACTAACCTTTTAAAGAGCCTTGTGGGCAATATAGTTTATTTTGAAATAGAGCCTTAAAGTAAATTTTAAATGTAATCCTAAATATGCTTATGGTGGTGGGCTATTCCTACTCATATCATTGGATGACATATTTTGGCTTTACAAAATGAATTAAAATAAATAATTTTATAATTTGTTATATTTCTTACAAAATTTTAGAAAGTTTTATCTTATATTCCTACCATTATTTTCTTACCCCTATATTTAATAAAAAAATATTTCAGTTATATCATTTTCACTTATCAATTAACTTTTTTGAAATTGGAGAATTCTACACCTCTTCATCAGTGTACCGAAGAATTTTACTTAATGGATTTTGGCACAGTTTTTTTCATCGGATAATTTGCAATCAAGTATTAAGGAAGGATTATATGTTACGTAAAAGTTATTCAATATTATAATCTTTATCAGATAATTTGATTATAAATTTTTGGGTAGTTTTCATGTTGTTCACTGATAACTTACCTATAAGTTATTTAAACTGCAATCATTTTAATTTTTTTTTTTTTACTTTATGTTTCTCAAATATGGAGATCCCTTTATAAGTAAGTTATTTAAAATGCAATCTTTTTAATTTTTTTTGACTTTTCTTTATGTTTCTCAAATATGGAGATCCCTTTATAAATCTGTTATGGTTAGGGGTCATTCTTGTTTGATATGGGTCACTCTTATCTGATAGCAAACCAGTATATGGGTTATGTGATATCAGGTATGGGCTATGTTTAGGTCCTAAGGTCATTGTTAGCTTAAAATAGTACGTTATTTGTTATATTTTGTTGGATTCTATTGACATTATATTATATTAAATGCTACTAACTTAAAATTATGGTACATAAGTCTTAATAATACATCAATCTCAAGATAATAATACATCAATGAGTGTAATTGATTGCTGTGAGCTAAGTAATGCTCAAAATATCTGCAAAATTTGGGTTGTCTTCAACAATAACTAATCGTTGAATATAACGATGAAGCTCGTGTGCAATAGATGATAGCCTCAGATGTGATGGTTCTTCCTCATAAGCAGAACCGACACTCCTCTATGTACATTCCAAGGGTGGGTGGGTATCAATCGAAGATGTGATATCCTATAATACCACTAAAAGTATCCAACGTCAACATCATATAGGATGCTACCTCGATCAATCTAGAATGATACCCATTCCATTCAACATCAATATCAAGTGTGCTGTAATTAGGAGGTGGAGGCGATATATATTATCTATATCGAAACTAACATAAACACCTGTCAAGCAAGTATGGAACAACCGTGCCACCCCATTTTAAACACCCCCTGTACAGTCATATCATCAAATGTTCAATCCTATCTATGACTCTCGAATGAGCGCCATATGTATCAACAAGTGTCAACTGATCCAACACACTCCTTAGCTCATTAACCCTCATTGCTCCTAGTTTATAAGTCCATCTCATCGCCCGAAAGTCCATTATCGCTAATTGCAATATGGGACTCTCCTCTCTTGCCAACAGTTAAAAAATACTCGTGAATCCAACATGAATATTATCAATTAAAAAAATAAAATAATAAAGAAACTAATACAAATAAATACCTGTAGCAAAGTAATATATCTGCCGTGCGGCTTGAAGGTGAGCATAGAAGCATCTCCTAAATATTTGTGTAGTTGTGAACAATGAAGTTGCGTTCGAGCTATATCTACCACTTCCAGACAAGTTTCTAAATAGTGATAGATATCTTGCCTCTACAAGAGTAAAAGTCTTGTCAGCAAAAATAATGCAACTGACCAACATCATCATATAGGCTTTGGCAACACAGTCGAATAGATCATCAACTCAATGACTCACAAATGAAGTGTTCATTCACTCTAGTTTATAATATGGACCCCTACAAGCACGAATCTCTTGTGTTGCCGCCTCTATGGTCACTCCCAACAAGTCAACAAGAGCAATGAC